GCTCTCTCTCGCTCTCTCTCTCTCTCTCTCTCTCTCTCTCTCCCACTCTCTCCCTCTCTCTCGGCCCACAGCAGGCATGTTTGTCTGGGTGTGACACTTCGTTACCCTCCCCCTCTGACTTCCCTCAGGGCAGGGAGGGATCCTGCGCGCGCACAGACACACACACACACACACACACACACACACACACAGAGAGAGAGAATATCCAGAACAGATCAGGAATGGCCAACATATTATATGTTTAGTAAGTGTTGGATAATACTTAGCTGGAAATATACAACTAATCAACATCATGGATTTTGCGATCATTTTAATGTACTTCTAAGCAATTCAGTTTCCTAGACTTTTGGTACACTAGTCTTGCTCTTCCTTGCATATTTTAATTATGTCTTGGAGTTCAAATTTCAACAGTTTAATTTATTTTCATGATTCAGTTCTTTTGAACTGTCCATTTCAATGAATCGCTCACAACATAATTCATCACACACAGACTTCTCTGTGTGGTATTTTACATTATTTAAATGTTTTGTGCATACTGTTTATTACTACATATTGTTACTTTGCATATAAATTAACTAAATATTATTCCTTGTGTTCATTTAGTGAAAATTATTTTAAACTAGCTTTCTACTGTATTTTATATTTTGCATTTAACATTGTCTTCAACTGCTGTTCCTCTGAAAAAAAAATCTATTAAAGTTGTGATGAAATTGAAGTAGCAACAGATATTTTCTTCTGTATTGTAACATACATCTGAGTGAAAACTATCGCAAAAAGAAAAAATGTAAAGCAGGGACTTGGTTCTATGTATATGTATGTTTAAGCAGACTAAATGATAGGAGAAGTCCTGCATAAATCACCAGAGACTCATTTTCACTGGAAGGTGCAGTTATGATATTTTCAATAAGCATTAAGTCAAAATGAAACATATGCATAGATCAACCGTTTAAAATAAGATCTATAACATTAATTTAGAAAATATATAGAGTGAATTTTCATTTCATGTAAATTTTTAAATATCATGATATACTATACACTGTCAAAATGTGGAACAATACAGAGATTGACCATCTCATGGCATATAGTGGTTCTTATATAGTACAGCATACAGTATAGTGGTTTATCAAAATCCCAATCAAGGTTCATTCTGAGATCGAAATCTTGCAATGAAATGGTGAGCATATACCTTATAGTTGCAGATGTGGTGCATGGCCTCGATTTCTTTCTCCAGCCAGTTGTAGAGCTGAAATCGCAGTTTGCCACCATCCACCTCATATCCTGTTGCCAGCGTCCGCAGCTCCGTCATGAGGATCTTCAAACAGGCTCGGAACTTCAACTGTTCGGCGATCACGTCCACCTCTGACTCACCCGTTGGGTCTTCACGCTGCAGGGCTGCTGATTCGGATGGCTTTTTGGCCTCCTCATCCTCCACCTCTGGTTTCTTCATGGTCAGCCCACCCTCTTCATCCTCATCTTCTTCCTTATCAAAACCCCAATCCAACTGTAGACCCTCATCCTCCATTTTAACCATCGGTTGACTCCAGTCCAACCCGGTGGAAGACGCTGCTCCCCAGGCCTGACTGGGGATGCCAGGAGCTCCCCAGTCGAGATCTGAAGCCTTTCCTCCGTTCTCCTGTGGCTGGGGGGCACTGACGTTGGCCACAGATGAGCCCTTACTCAGATAAGATGCTTTCTTAGTGACTTTAGGGATTTTGGATAAGACCTCAAGGGCCAGGAGTGGGCAGCCCACCTTAAAGTGAGCGTTAGCGGTGGTGAAGAAGAGTTTCCGCTCTATCAGGTTTATTTCGTCTGCGCAGTTGCGTTCTGATGTTATACCAACTGCAACCCTAGATGCTTCAGGCTTGGCAAAATGTCGTCTAATAATCAGAGGGTGCGCGCGCAAGTAGTTATAGAAACTAAAGACGACAGGATTGCAAGATTTCACCAGAACATCTGAAAAAAAAGAGAAACTTTCTGTCTCAAAAACACTGTTACTAAAATGATTAGTTACAAATTTACTCACTAGTTGATGGGTGTTACATGATTAGTGGTGTATGTTATGATTACTGCTGTTAATATTTTAAGCATTCATTGGTAGCTATCATATTGCTGTTTTATTAAAGCAATCAAATCAGTTGCTGTAACACAGTGACTCTTTACCAGGGTTCTTATCATCCTCTTTGTAAATCTGCTCCAGCAGTGTGTCCAGGGCTCTGGTGTAGTCCTTCATGATCCAGTACGCAATGCTCCTCAGGAATGGGTCAGGGTGCAGTTTGGTACAGGAGAAGCCACTTCCATCTCTGTTGCAGCCGAGAACCTTCTCGTACAGGATACCCTGGCAGGTGGAGGAACTCTCATAATCAGCCTCGTAAAGACGAGCAACAATCATTGCAAGCTGGATGTCCTCCATTTTCTCCAGACAAACCTACCAGAGAGACAGACCAACTTGTCAAGAACATACACAGGTTGACAGGGCTGTCAATAGATTAACATTTTTAATCGGATTAATCACACCCTTTTTCTGTGATTAATCACGATTAATCACACAATTAATTTACTATATCCAGCAAAGTAAACCAAAAGATTGAAAGGTGATTCTCACAAATCTCTATTTTCTACAAGCTCTTTTCAAGATAAATTTAGATGTTTTTCCAAAAAAGGACACTTGGAGACTCCAAAGGTACACCAAAGAACCAAATTATATAAGGAGTCCACATAAATTATACATTTATGCACACCAAAGCACACATGAAAGAAAAAAATCTGAATTGTATAATATGTGTCAACAGCAAAGAGCTTGTTTACATTTTAGATGAGTCATAGACTGCATGTATCTACTACAGAACACAGATCCATTCAGAATAACTAAACACAGCAACATACACATGACAAATCAAAACATTATCGTGAATGTGTTTGGAAACAACGTGAATGTACGGAAATGTCTGTGCCTGTGCATAAATACAATGTGCGATCATCAAGAGCACTCATACACGCATTAATATAACAGACTCACGCGTGCTTACTGTACGACTCCTGTACGCCACCGCAATCATCTTTACCTTGACTGCAATCTTCATTCATTAAAACTTTACTAGAATAGCTAGCGGTGGGATGTTTTCAGTCTGTATTTCACACAGCATGATGTGCGAGGGCTCGCACTCTTCAGAGACAATCACAGAATATGACAGAGCTTGTGTTTTAAAGCAAAACACACTGGAATAATTCACTGAAAATGCAATGCGAGTCCGTATTCTCTCTTCCATCTATGATGTAATCAGCCTGGTTTTCTTTACAATAGTGCTGCTTTGGACGGATTGTTTGAATGCATTCGCTAGCTGGATCATTGGACTGAAAACTTCCCAGAGTTTAGCGGCTTAAAATGATCTGATCAGAGAAGCAAATTTGGTTTAAAGGGTTAGAATAAAAATTGTGCTTCAGTAATTTTGCATTAAACTATTTTAAGATATTAAGGATTGTAAAATTAATTACTATATTAACGTTGACAGCCCTAATTTCACTCCAAAATTAAGATTGCTGAAAAACAATGAAGCCTAATTTTATTTTCATTTTTGTTTTACATTGTGACATTACATTAATTACAATTAAGCAACAAAAAAAAAATATATATATATTGTCGTCATTACAAAAAAAAATATATATATATTATTTAAAATTGTAAACCATTTATACATTATTGTAGTATATGATGTACTGCCTTTAATCTATACTGATTTAAACAGAATTATTGTATTTTTCAACTATGAAACATCACTGTATAAGTGGAAATCTAACGAGAATCACCATAAAATTATAATATAAATTGAAAATAATGACAATTCTTTAAAAATGTAAATGCTATACTACTGTACTATTTGAGGGGAAAACATGGAACATCATAAAAATAAATATATATTTTATCTTTTTAAAATGGTATCAGGCTTTTTTTATTTATTCATTTTATTTATTGTTTGCACAATTATATGTGACTTTTCATTCATCTATTCAAAATAAAAATAGACTAAAAGCAGAAGCAAAGCTCATTTATATTCCTAATATAGCTCCACACATCTCATTTTAACAACCTATATACTGACGTAATCTCTCATGAGTAGTGCTATCACTGTGTTTTCACTGTGTGCTGTCAGACATCCAGCCTAAGGTAAATTACAGCTGTCATATGTCCATCAGGGGAGTTTATCTGTGATGTTTAGACTAAACTGAACCGCTCAGGGCTGTTATATCACACTCCACACTTCACAGACGACCACACGCTCTATGACGTCACAACCAAACCAAACTCTGCAGACTCCACATCTAAGAGATCAACAACAGACACTTTCTATATTTTCCTGGGATTGAATTTCAGCACAGTTAAAATAGGACAGTGCAGACCTCAATTGCGTCTTTCAGGGAGCCAGCGAGCAGGAAAAATGCAGCTGACTGCTCAAAGCGCTGTTTGCCCAGGAGAGAGAAGGCGTTCTTTAAAGCCGCCTTCCTCCAGCGGTCCTCACTGAAGTTATGGCTGAAAAACTGGGTCATCTTCTCATCATGTTGAGACCTACACAGAAATCAATACATTAATAAACAGGCAGAAAGCCCACAGCAACACAGCATCAAGAGAATAGCACACTGCATATGAGATGCAGCTTTATGAAGGTAACACTATGAATAAGAGTCAGTGAGTTTTGAAGTACCTAAAGAGACCCCAGAGAACAGCCTTCTTCTTCATGGCCAGATAGAAGAGAGCTGCATCCAGCGGATCATTATGCCTCTGAAATGCTGCTTTGGCTACCTAATACAGAGGCAGAGATGTAGTTTTTATTTATGAACTGTAATTATCACCATTGCCATACAGTATGTACTCAAAAGACCTGTTTACAGCAAGATAACTATAATTATAATTATATTAGCATCTACACCAATGGAAGACAAGTTTTGGTTTATTCTAAATGCCACTTTTAATGCTCAAGCTCTTTAAAGCAGGATGGACTCTGATTGGCTGTCATTCTTTTTATCATTTATCAGCTGGATAAAATCGTTCTGACAGTGATTCCAACAATCATTCTGGGCCGTTTATTGTTATAGTTCAGGTGCAATTCTTTTAAACTTAGAATGATTTTTAAAACGATATTGTTACCGTCCTTGGTGTGAACGGGTCTAATATTAACTGCATTAAAAATAAATAAATAAATAAATTTAGATTACATTTCAACTGAAGTGAAACTGTATAGAAATGCAATGAACAAAATTGAACTGAATTAAAGTCAACTGAAATTTCAAATGAACTGAAATTAAATGAATTAAAGTGAACTGAAACTGAACTTGAAATGGAGCAGAGACTGAACTGATTAGAAATGTAATGAAATTTAAACTAAACTTAACTGAAACTAACTGAACTGCACATAACTAAAATTGTAATGAATTAGAAATGGATTAAATTTTATGGAGAGTGAAAGTGAAAATGAAAAAGATCACCAGACTTTGAATATTTTGAAGTCAGGAATCAAAATAATTAAACAGTGGTTAATGAAATTCTCCTTCGGGAAACTTTCTTGAAACTTCCTTTGTTGTTTCTAATCCTATCAGCCAATAATAGTCATTTGACTATTATTGACTTTATGATCACTATTGGTTAATACCAGTGGTTCCTAACCATTTTCCTTTCATAAAAATTATGGCTGTCCCATTTAAAAATGAGTGAGAATCAGATGTGCTTGATTTGAGAGATATCCAAAATGTGTATGTTTGGGGCACCTTCAAGAACAGGATTGGAAAATACTGTTTTCTCATTTGTAAATAACGCTATGTGTGAGCAAGAATGCTTTAGTAGTCTCACCTTCTCCACCATCCGCCTCAGTGTGTTAATGTTTCTGACCCACCAACCGGCGCCCACCGCCCTGAGCTCAGACCACTGCGGATCTCCTCTCTGCATGGCAGGAATCATGTTCAGCATCTCCTCCTCAGCTTCTGAGTGGAACGCCCACGCAAAGTGACATGTGGACACACCTGGACACACAAACACAGTATAAAGGCAGATTCACACCAAGACCAGAGATATACATGAGGCTTTCGATCCTTAATAACAAGTGAATGCAGCACTTACGACAAGCAAGCAAAAAAATAAAAAAATCTAGATGTCAACATTAAATACACACACACACACACACACACACACACA